ATAAAAAATGTGTGTCTTTTTTTTTTATTTTATTTCTGTAAAAAAAAAAAAAAAAATGTTTTTCGCATTCAGGTGATGAACCAAAAAAAAATTTCAGTTCTTGAATGACATTTGGTGGACAGTTTTTTTTTCTCTCTATTTCGATTCAAATTTTCACACATCTCTCTTTTATTCGTTATTTTACACTTGTCAACTGTCAAATTTGCTTATGAAAAAGAAATCGCTAGTTAATCGAATCTGACGATTGATGGTTTTTAGATTCAATTCGTTCAATTCATTACATATGTGATACGTTGGTTTTTTTTTCTACAAAATTTTTCAATATTGAACAGGCACAGAGAGTGAGAAGCAGACATTTGCATGACACAAGCATCAATTTAGGTTTTTCTTTTCTTTTCTTTTTTGCATCATTATATTGAGGTGAATGAATTTAGTTTCTTTTTTTTCTTCAGTTTCCATTATCATGATGATAATGATAATGATAATGATGATGATGATAGTGATGACGATATTCATCCTATTTGGTTAATGGTTTTTTTGCTTCAAGCCATTGTTAAAACTTTAATGGAAAAAAAACACCGGCAATTGAAGTCAATTAAAATGCACACATACAAACACCCCCAACCACACACCTACTAAACGCCTACTACATTATCATTATGAGAAGAAGAAGAATATAAACAACCAAACATTAAGATACAATCATGTAAAGTAACAATGAATCCAATGGTTGACAATTGAAAAAAAAAATTAGCATATTGATTAAAGCAAATGTTGAATTCAATTGAAATGTTTTTTGTTTGTTTGTTTGTTGTTTGAATGAATGTTTTGTTCAAAAATTTTCAATCTCCAAATTCAATTGACAATTATCATACTTTTGATTCTATATTCTATGCTTGTTTTTCATTAAAATTTAAGATTTCTTTTCTTTTAATTTTTTTTTTTTGTAAATTGAAAAAACGAAACAAAACAAAATTCTTTAACAGTTTTCTAAAGAATCCAAAAAAACCCGAAAGGTAGGCATTTAATTAATTATGGTAATTTGTTTGGACAAATTTTCTTACTAATTAGAATTTATCATATGACAGTTTTGAATCGATTTTCATATTATCATTTTGGGTTTTTTTTTGTCATTCGAATGAATTAGAATCGGCCGATCTAAGCATTTTTCTGATTACGAATTGGGAATTCTCAATTCCATTTTGGATATTATTCGAACCATTTGATTGATGGAGAATAATGAACGAACGAACGAACGAGAATCGAACGAATTTGTTAAGCGATTTTTTCTTTTTTCTTTCCAACCAGTCTCTCTCTCTTGCTGAGAGTTGATTGTCTGCTATAGTTGATAATTATCCAAACAAATCCAATGAGCCGATACAACTGTCGATTACATTTTGGAGAGCCAAAACAAAACAAAAAAATGATCCCATTACTAACATAACAAGGGCGACAGTTTCTGTCTATCTTTGGTTGGTTGGTCGGTCGGTCGGTCGGTCGGTCTGTCTGTTATACAACCAGGTGTTGGCATTCCTCGATATTCCGAATTCTTAGACGATTCCATTTGGATTTGTTTGTTGGTTTCTGCCGGTATTCTGAATGGAAAAAAACAAACTTTGGACCAAACTCCATTGGATATCGTTCCCACCATCCCCCCTCGAATATGAATTCACCAACAACATCTGTATATTTTTTTCCCATTATAAATTCATTCGACGAGTGATGTTCACATCACCCACAAAAAAAATGATCGAGATGTCAAAATCGTAAAAACAACAATGATGGCCACTGCTGTGCAATTCCATTAATAAGATTACCAGCAATCAGTGAAAAAAGTCATTCTTTTTGTTGTTAACATTATTCATTGATAAATTCAACCGGCCGGTCATTCATTCAGTCGATTATTATGGTAGCCAGAATGACTGCTGACAACAACAACAGTTGGTCAAATTCTCATTAAACCATTTTTTGGCCATTTCAAATCAAATCAATCATTTCATTCATTTCTCGCTTGCTCGCTGGTCATCCGAATTGATTCTATATTTGATTCATTTGATTCATTCATTTTCAATCAAAGTTGATGATTGAATTTTTTTTTTGTTTTGTTTTTTAAAATTTAAATTTAAATAACTTTTTTGAAAAAAAATCATCATTACACACATTGCCTATGGCCGTTGATTGTGTCCAATGTTTGTCTGTGATGATGATGATTTTCTCCTGCTTTTTTTTACATTTTTATTATTACGATGAAAATTCCTTCGGCCATAGCAAACAATAATAATCATCGACATCGAGGGTCTTGTTTTTTCTCATCAATATTTGAATTTGTTTGTTTGGTTTACGGACAAACAAACAAACAAATAAACCGGGACTATAAATTCTTGTTGTTTGATCATCAACAAAAGAAATATGATGATGAGAAACATTATTGCTCGTGTATTTAGTCAACAAGAAAAAAATGAGTTTATGTATGTTTTGTTTGTGTTTGTGTTTGTTCTTTGTATTTAATTACATAATAAACGAGAAATGTTTGTCCTTGTTCACTCAGTACATACTTGAACCAAACAAGATTCCAATTTGACTGTTTTCAATAGAAGTATACTGTATGCATCCATCTCATCTCATCTTCTTTTCGTGTCAATGAATGAATGAATTTTTTTTTCACCCCCAAAGACGACTACGACGTTAACGCCATAGCCACTATTATCATCAACAACAGCAACATGAACGCCGCATCTCAATTTGTCAACTTGTGAATTAGATCATTTTTGGATCGGCGACGGTTACAACGCTGCCTGCTTTCTATATTAGTTTTTTTCTGTTTCACCATTAATATCAACTTAGTTTCCCAGAATCTGTATTGATGGACCAACTTTTATTTATATTTTTTCTATTTTTTCATTTTAAATCCAACTTTTATTGCTCAATATACAACCAGAAAAGAGTAGAAAGTTATATGAAAAAAAACAAAGTCCAAAAAAAAACGAATAAACGTGCCATTTAGCAATGAAATAAAAGAAAGCCAAGAGGATTTTATTCGCTTCGTTTGGCTGATTCATATGTGTGTGTGTGTTTGTAAGTGCGGTTAAGCCTATACGATGCAAATGTTTTTGTGTGAGTGTAATTCCTGTGAGGCAAAAAGAGAAAATTGTCATTCATTCTTCAGGAATATATGAAAAAAGAAAAAATGATTGTAAATCGGATTGTCATTTCTTCTAGGTTTTTATGGAATTCTTCAACATTACCTCATGTCTTTAATGTAATGTTTTTTCTTTCTTTCTTTCCATAGTGTTATGATGACTGAAATAAACAAAACATACCGAACCAACCAATATGATAATCGATGTTTGTTGTCTGGTGTAATGTATATGTTGAGCATTGATTTTATCAATCATATCGATTTAACGTTTTTTTTTTGTTCCCAATCTACATATCTATCATCATCATAATAATGTCCATATTATACTAATGGACATTTTCAGAGCGAGAGAGAAAAAAAATATGCAACTAACTTACATATGATGTCTGTAGATCATATCAAATTGTCGGACCATTAACTATCCAATATGATTGATGTTTGTTACCGTGTACGGTGGTGGTGGTGCACAATAATAATCAAAATATATGCACAGTCCATAGTCAAATGATTAACCAAATAAGTTTGAACATTGATGTGATTGAGATTCATAGAGATTTAGAAGTATTCAATAATTCGCCTGCAGTCAATGTGTAGGACGGAAATCCGGAAACAGTTTTGTTATTCTTGTCATGGCCATCATTATTATGGTTTTTATCATTGCAATTCAACAATTTATAAATGGTGTACACGTGTCACTAATAAAATCAATCAAATGAAAGTAATGTTGTTGGTGGTGAATGGTGGTGATGGTGGTGGTCAAGCCTTCAAAGGTATATCATATCATAATCAACTTATAAATTGAATTGAATTTGATGAAATCAACTGAACCATAATAATAATAATAATAATATCCGAATATATTGAAAAAAATAGCTATTATCATCAATCATAGTCAAATCATCATGGCCACTAGAATTCATGCCGACCACTGAATGACAACTTTGTCCAAATGTAATCAGCCATAATCAAGCCAGAACAACACTAGTCAAGTGATATATAAGGGAAAAGAAGAAAGCAAAAAAGAAAAAAATCCATTTGGACTTAATTAAGTTGAATTCATTAATTATGATTATAATCTCAACTGTTTTAAATGTTTGTGTTAATGAACAAACATAATGGTCAATTGAAAATTGATATTCATGGCCAATGAACTTAATGAACAAAAAATGTCACATTTTTTTCTCCATTTCATTAGATAATCGTCATTTGTAATTTGATATTTTTTCATTGCCTTGTTTCTCACAAATATTAATCTTTGATTGTATTTTTATTTTTTCATTTTTTTTTTCCAAAATATAGTGCTGCATAGGTAATGATCGATAGATTCAATAATTTAACCATATGATGATGAATCCATCGGGACCATCAATTTGGCCACCAACGCCACATCATCAACAACATCATAATCAATCACCTGCTTTGATCATAAATGATAATGATAAATCAACCAATTCGGCTGCAATTCTTATGGCCAATCAATCGTCTGGATCACCGTATGGCAATGGAAATGGTGCAAATATTAACATCGATACTGAATCATTACTTTCTGGTTACAGTGATCCTCGTATTAAAAGCAAAGGCATGAATGGTAGTGCCACAGCAACATACGCTTGTCTATTAACAAACAGTACAACGGCCGTAAATAATACGTCAGTACTTGGAACATCCGTTGTTCCTTCGCCTTTGGCAACAGGCACACCTAACGTAGTCATTAATCCATACCATGGCAATTATCAGGCCAATACCGGTCATCCGGATGCTCAAGTGCATAGCGTAGTTTCGATGCGAAGTGCTGGACGACAATCACATCATTCAAATCGAAATGGTCATGCAACTAAGACAGTTGAATCAGGTTATCCTGTTAGCGGAAACAGTCAAGATATTGTTCAGGTATCGATGTTGTCCCCCGATGATAATTGGAACGATAATACAACCGCCGTCACTGGCAACACAAGCGATCAATCTGGATCAATGGATGATCTCAGTAAAATTGACAACACAGGATTCACAATCAATAGACTTACTGGTTGTCAGCTATGGTCTGGTTTGATCGTAGCCATAGTCTTGTCTGTATGTGCCTTTCTTTCGCCAATCATAATGATCATCATTCCCCGAATCGAGCTATTCGAATGGAAAGTCAAAGAATGTGGACCCGAATGTGATGGTCTGGTCCTAAGTTTTCTTTTCAAACAATTAATTCTGGCCATAGGCAGTTGGGCTGTCTTTTTCCGTCGTCCACGATCGACAATGCCACGTATCTGTACATATCGAAGCACGGTACTAGCTTTTATCTTGGTGTTGCTGGTTTCATATTGGCTTTTCTATCTGGTCCGCATCGCTGATAAACGATTAAGCGATGAAGATGCTATCAGTTATTACAGTGTTATTATGTTTGCCATATCGTTGGTTGACGCCTTGTTATTTATTCATTACTTGGCTGTTTTGATACTTCGAAGCTGCCATCTGGAGAATGAATTCTTTATCAAAGTAGTTCGTTCACCGGATGGTCATAGCCAATGTTATACGTTAGGTCGGACATCCATTCAAAGAGCTTCGTTATGGATATTGGAAAAATATTATCAGGATTTTCCACGTTACAATCCGTTTCTAGAACGATTAGCAATGAGAAAAAGTCGCCGAAATAGTAGTCTTTCTCGACAAGGACTTAAATTTTATGATGTTGATGGCGTTACCGGTCCAGGCTCGACCAACAAATCAAATAATGGAGAGAATAATCCTCTTCAACTAAGTCCAAAATCAATATTGGCTCAAAATACGGCTGCAAATGCGGGAAGACGATGGCCAAAAAATGCAACGCACCTAAATGGCGGTAGTACCATTTCAGATGGCCGATGTAATAGACGTCAGGAACGCGATACGACTAGTCATCATAGCGGTCATTCAGGACATCATCATCATCGAAATCATAATGATCGTTTACACGAAGAACATGAATATGAACGACGAGTTCGTAAACGAAAATCTCGACTAATGAGCGTTACGGAAGAAGCGTTCACTCATATCAAACGTATTCAACAGCAAAGTAAGTTTTGCAGCCAAATATATAAACAATATCACTTACATCAATTTTATTTTTTGTTCAGGTCATGGCCCTTTATCAACATCATCGATGAACCCGAAAGAAGCTGCACAAGCTATTTTTCCAACAATTGCTCGTACTTTACAGAAATATTTACGCGCAACAAGACAACAATCACGACATTCAGTTCAATCAATATTAGAACATCTATCAATTTGTCTTACATATGACCTAAGTCCAAAAACATTTCTTGAAAAATATCTATCACCACATAATCCACATGTTGGTTGGTCAACAAACAATGATCATATCGAAACATGGAATCTTATTTCCGATACATTAGTATCACGTTCAATCGAATCGGGTAGCCAATTTTTATTACGTCAAGAAGATCATGTTTGCTTATTGGTAACAATAAATCGTATGCCATATTTAAATCTGGTCGAACAAGTGATCGATATTGAACGAACCAAATTCCTATTCAAATTAAATTCCGAAACTTCTGTTTGAAACAAATTTTTTTCCGATTTGCACTTGTAATTTTTTGAACGAAATTTCCAGGTGCTAGTGATAGTTAATTTTAAAACCCTTGTTTGTAAATATTATAAACTATTATAATTCTTCCCCTTTCACCCACCACCACCACCAACAACAATTGTTTTTTTGTACATTTTTTATTTTATAATGCTTATTGCTTTCTTCTTTACTTTGATTTTTTAAATTAAAAAAAGAATTTTTTTCATTTCATATCAAAAATTATTCAATAACGTTTACATTATTCAATTACATTTGTTAAATGATTTTTTAATAAATTTATAATTTCTTGACAAAACGACAAATGTCAGGTTGATTAATTATTATGAATCAAGAAAAGAAAAAAAATTAATGACATTTTTTTTCTTTAAATGGTTATCACGATATTACATTTGGAAGTATTTCATTTCACACATGTGATAAGAGAAGAGAGAATTGTACAACAACAACAACAACAACAACAAAAAATGAAATTAATTATTCAATAACAAAATCATGCAATTAACAAATCAACATGTTTTTCTTTCGTAAAAAAAAATTTCGTAACACATCCCTCATTACTTTAGTTTCGTAATCCACATGCCAAACATCATCATGTTTTTTGTTAATTTCATAATAATCATTTCCATAAGCATAGCAAATCTTCTGTTTGATCGATGAGATTTACTGATTGATTGATTGAATCATCAAATATTGAATATGTTATGTTTGGTGACATTGATCATCTTCATCATCATCATCAGTATTATCAGCAATTTTGAAGGTCTAGAATTTTTTGAATCCTTAAACGATTATATCATCATCATCATCATCATATGATGTTTTTCTGATTATACAAAAAAAAAACAAGAATTTTTACCATAAATTTATGAATGGAATGAATTTTGTTTTTTGGAGGTCTTTTCTACAAAAAATCTTAACATTTTATTGATGAAAAATGAATTTATTTTTGCAAATGTCCATAATGATGTTGATTACCATCATCATCATCTTCATGATCATCATGATCAATTGTAATATCGACCATAATGTTGTTGTTTATATTATTATGTTGATTATGAATAATTAAATCAAGTGATAAAAGAGTTGCCGGTTTTGTTGTTATTATTGTTGATTCAAAATCGACATCATCATCGTCATCATTATCATCATTAACATGATGATTATTGAATTTTTCATTATGAATATTATGATCAATCGAAGGATGAATGATTGTTGGATTTTCTTTCTTAATCTTTGTTATGATATGTTGATCATTTTGATGATCAGATTGGCAGGTAAAAAATGAAAATATTGTCAATTTTTGGCTAAAAATTTTCTACAATTTTGAAAAAAAACAACAATGATTAAGAGATTCAAAAGAAAAAAATGGAAAACATACCCGAAATTCACTTGATACAAAACAATAAAGTATTGGATATGCAATACCACTCATCGATGTAAATAAAATTAATATTGCCATTGTACAATAATATGTTTGTAATTGAAAATTACATTGACTAAATAGATCTGGAAACAGATCATTCAATGATTCCATAACCGAAAATGGAAACCAACATAAAAAATGTATTAATGCAAGTAAAATAATTTTGGCAATAATTTCACGATGTTTTAAAATCAAACGATTATTTGTTATAAATGGTGTTACAATTATTGTTGTACTAGCAACACGTTTTAATTCACAAGCAATACTTAGATAAAGATATAATGTTAATAATGATGGTATTGAAAATGTTAACATTAAACGCATTAATGTTAATAATATTTGCATTGTACGTCCAAATTTATGGCTATAGTTTTAAAAAAAATTAAAATTAAAAATTTTTGATTAATTAATTAATTTGTAAATTTATTCATCTTGTAATTAACTTACTACCAAAAAAATGGAATTATAATCAATGTGCTTGCAATCCATACCAATACAATACAGAATGTATAATGTCTTCGATACCAATATGATTGAAATAGATAACATTGTTTTATGGCAAGATATCTGTCGGAGTGAAGAGAAGGGATTTTTAATTTTGAAAAGAAATTCTTTTAAAAAAATATAATCTACCTAAGAACATACCTATCAAATGCCATTAATAGATGCATAAATGATGATGCAATCGGTGCAACATAAAAACCAAATCTTAATGATGTTATTATAAAACAATTTGAACATGTTGTTGGTAATTGTTCAATTGTTTCCAAATACATTGCCGGTACACAAATTGAACTATATAATATAACCGATATTGATAATGATATAAATGATTGTTGTGTATGTGAAAAGGATTTTATTGTTGTTGTTGATGATTTGGATGATGATATTGATGAAACACGATGTACAACAATTGTATCATTTGATATCATTTGTTTATTATTATTAGTTGCTGTGGCTGCTGCTGCTGCTGCTGCCGGTATTGTTGTTGTTGTTGATAAACTATTCTGACGGCTACCGGATTGATCAAAATTACAATAACGATTAATAATCAATGTAATAATAACAAATAAATTTAATAAAAATGTAATAATTGCTGTTATGAATATTGATGAACCGAATAATAATTGTTTCCATTCATCTAACATTTCAACCGGTGCATGCAACTGACATAAATTATCATTATTATCAATTTGATTATTATTAATATCATCATTAATTAAAATTTGATTATTATCATCATTATGATTATTTTGATTATTATTAATCATCATTCTCATTATATTGGTTTGTTGATCTGTAATAATATTTGTATAATTAATTAATAATAATGGTGATATTGTCGAGGTATTATTGTTGTTGTTGTTGTTATTATTATTCAATAATAATGATAAAATCATTGAATGATTTGATTGACTAGATGAATAAATATTATCATTATGATGATGATGATGAGGTTGATCATGAAGATGATTTCGTGGAAATTGTGTTTGACCAAAATTATGGCCAATAACTCCTTGATTTGATTCAATCATTTTTTTTAAAATTATCTTTGTTGTTGATGTTTTTTTACAAAACCAAACAAATCATTCAATCAATTCAGAATTAAACAATGTTGTTCAATCAACGTTGTTGTTGTTGTTGTTGTTATTGATCAACAACAACCAAATTTTAATCACATTTTTTAAATTGATCACTGATCATCAATGTTGTCGTTGACATTATCATTTAATAGTGGTCGTTGTCGTTATCGTTATCGTTGTTTGAATGAAAATGAAAACAAAACAAAAAACTGGAGGCCCAAGAAAAATTTTTTGTTTGTTTTTTCAAATGATAATTTCTTATTGGACTGGACAAAACTTGATCTTGTTTCTCTCGCTCTCGTTTTTCTCTTTTTACTTTTGTTTTCTCGCTCCAATTCACTTTATCAATCAAAATAGATGCCAAAAAATTATCCAATCAGTTGATCGATCAACATGTAATTTTTCGCTACAAAAAAATGTGGTTTAAAACAAAGAAGAAAAACACGAACAGATATCAATTGATAAAATATTTTCTTCTCTCTCTCTCTCCGATCATCCATTCGAAGATTGAGAGACGAAAACGACTACGAAGAAAAATATGTGGATGATGATAAAATGGTGAAATGGTTTTTAGCAACAACAACAAAAAAAAACTAAGACACCTGTAAAAAAAGGATGGATGGATGTTGATATGATCATCTACGATGATGATGGCCATATATACCTGAAGCAAAAAAATTATCATTCATTCATTTGATTCAGGTAGACAGACGAATTTCTCTCTTTTTTTAAAAATTTTGAATTTTGGATAAATTTTTTTCAAAAAAAAGATGCTCTTCTTTTTTTTCTTTACGGTGAAAGTTTTTGGCGAACATCGATTGAATGGATGGATATTACATTCCAATATCACTGAATGTACTTTGAAAGATTTAAAAAATGAAAACTTTGTTTGTTTTTCTTCATCACGGAGTTTGCGTAAATTAATTTTTATTTTTTCTTGTAATTTAGGTTTCGGATATGGAAAAGTATAAAACGAAATCCACTGAAGAAAATCTGATTGTAAAAATCTCAGTGTAATGAACTTTATTTTTTTTTGTTTGTTGATTTCGTTAATACAATGGATATTCCATTTAGGTTGATAAATAACAAATGGTAAAACTATGATTTCGAAACAAAAAAACATTTTGTCTTTTTTTTTGGCAATAAAATCATTTCGTATGAATTATTATGTTGTTAATTATTATCGTCCTCCGATTTCTGTTAATAATTATCGATTATTAATGGAAGGATTGATTTTTGGTTTTGGTTTACTCTCTATCAAACTGAATCGCCTTCAATTTGGTTTTATTTTCCCAAGCATTTATCTAACAAGAATTTTTTCAGGAATTTTCCCACTAAAATATCATCAACTTGTCTTTGCATCCATCCATCAAATAAGAAAAATTTTTATAAAAACAAAAAAATATGAATTTTTTGATTGTTGGCTTTTGTTTTGCCATTATTAATATTTTTTTTGTTGTTTGTTATTCGTTACGATTCATTGATGATGAAATCCATAGCCATTGACCCGACTATATTGTAACATGAATCCCAATCGAACTTGTTTTTATTCAAAAAAAATGTTTATTTCGATATATGCAATGTAAAAAGAGAGTGAGAGAAAGAAATGAAATAATTATTCACACAAATCCATAATAATTATATAATTTATGTTCACAAGTTCAAGGATTTTTTGTTGTTGTTGTTGTTGTTGTTGCAATAAAATTTATTTAACAAGGATTATTTATTTACTGTCATCGATTGCATATCTGCTATATATGTGTGCGATTATAAATCACACGCATAAATCTAGGTTTCATTCATTTCAAAATAAAAAAATAAAAATCTTATTCTTTCATCTTTCAAATGAAGATGAAGAATGTTGTTGTTGTTGTGTAAAAAAATAGGAATATTTATTTTTATGAAATGTAATGTTATGAAATTTGGATTTTTGTAATTTGAATTAATCAATGAATAATAATGATTGATATGAAAATGATTGAAATTATTGAATTTAATAATGTTAATCTTGATGATATTGACGATGATGTTGATGATATTGATGATGATGATGACATTCGACGTAGACGACCTTCACGACGACAATTATTTAACCAATGGCGATCACGAAGTGTTTTTAATATACCTTCTTTTTCTAATAAATCTAATGTTTTGTTAAATTCAATTGACCAATTTTTTTGTTGTTCTCGTTTAGATTGTTCAATAAATGTTTTGGAAAAAGCAATAGCTATATTGTTTTGAAATAATTCCTCTTTACGTATTGTTAATTGTTGTATTATTGTTGTTGATGATGATTTTGTCATATTATTAATAATAATCGATCCATTTGATGTTAATGATGGCTGTTTTAAAGTAACAGTATCAAAATGTACATTTGGATTATTCATTTCTAACCATATACGTTGTCGCCTTGCTACATCGATACTTGTATATTCACAATCATGATGATCGACAAAATAATCAATAAATTTTGATTCATCAATCAATACATATTTTTGTCGTTGTAAACGTTGTAATAATGTTGATAATGATGCACGTTCAACAATAATTAAATCATTAAGATAATCAATATTAATTGTTGAATAGAAACGATGTACAGCACTACCTTTGAATATAATACGTACAATATCGGCTTGATTGAATATATCATGTATGGTTAATAATGGTAATGTATTATCATTACCATCATCATCATAATGAAAAAATTGGCCATTCTTTTCATCAATATTTGTATTTAATGAAGAATCATTCAAAATGATTGCACAATCATCTTTTTGATTCATTTTAATATTGCTATCATTGAAGACAACTTGTATAAATTGTTCCTGTCGTTTAATATTGGCTAAATCATTTTGACATTGTCGACGTTTACGATATACTAATTCTTTGAATAATGATTTTGTTAACAATACTTTCATTGTTGATATATAGATTGGCCTTGTAAATACAATATCATTTTGTTCGGCTTCTTTAGGTGTATTAAGCCAATTACTACTAATATCACCGATTGCAAATTCAACATACTATATAGGAAAAAAACAATGAAATTAATCAATAAATAGGATGCTTCCGTTAAATACAAAAAACCTTTTCAATAATTTCACCAAAAACACCATCACGTGTTCGTATTGAACCAATTTGTCCATCAAAACTTTGTCGTAAAGTAAATTGAAATTTTAAACGATTTCCTAATTCTTTTAGTATATCCACACAGAATCCACGATATGGTCCACTTTCACTGTAAATAAATGGTGGATTCTATTGTCGAAATGAGAAAAAAAAAGAATCAAATCATTTGAAAAGACAAAAAAAAGCATCAAATAGATTACCAATACGGTTGCACCATTCAACGTGATTATATCATCATCAATGTCTTCACCTTGATCTTGTTGTTGTTGTTCGATTACTCGTTTTGGATTCTTTTGATCAAAATGTTCATCATCAAGAACATTGTTTGAATCAGTGATATTATCAAAAACAGTGTCGACAATCCATCTACCATTATTATTGTCAAAATTTATCATTTGGTTATGAACATTTTCGAAAATAATGATAAACACAAACATTAAAATAATAAAAATATGATTAACCATGATGGCCATTAGTAGCAAAAATGTTGGTTATTTAATGATTTCGATAACCAAGAACAATTCAATAAACAATGAAGGTTATCATGAAATTCATTTCGTTTGTAAATCATGAACGAATGAATGAATGAGCAAGGATGAAAATAGAATGGATATATTCAGCCACACCAGAAAAACACCGGATATAATTTAATTTGATCAAAATCAATCAAAAGATTCAACAAGATGTTTCTCAAGTACGAAAACTGAAATTTGCTAAAATGTAAATAAACAACATTAAACAAAGTGAATAATAATAAATAACCGACCGGATGCTTACAAAAGAAATTTCAATCAAAATCATCAACCAATCAATAACAGAACAAAATTGATTTTTTATTTATTAAATTTTTTCTTCATCTTTTTTTTCCTGGATAATAATTTTTTAAATACATTCCAATAACGATAAAATCATATAAACAAAAAACAAAAAATTAAAATTTTAAAACGAAACAAAAAACCAAAAGGAAAACAAAACACGAAAAAAAAAGAAACATTCGATTACAAGCCAAACACAAATGACGTACACATTTTTTTCAATATTCTGGCTTTTCTTGATTGTAAAATTCAAAAAAAAAATCAAATGAATGAGCAAGAATCGAAGGAGGAAAAACAAAAACGAACAAAAGGTAAAACAAACTAAAGAATATTTTACTATATTTTGTTGTTGTTGTTGTTGTTTATTTTTGTTTAATATGTATAGAATATTATCGAAGAATATAGAATTTTTGTTGTTGTTGTTGTGGAAATTGTATTTTTTTGTGTTTTTTTTTGTGCTGAATTTAGATTATGCAAATGAGAATGAAAATGAAAATGATGTTTGTGTTCATTAATTAGTCAAAAGGTAGATTTCGATCATGATATTTATGAATGATGTCGGATGTGATGGACAACACACACAAAAAATTGCTCCATTCGATTGTGATGGTCGATTAAATTCTCTGGCTTCAAACAAAACAAAAAATTTACCATTAAAATTCTGTTGTTATTATTCGAATCAAAAGCGAAAAAAATCGTTTTTTACCTGAGAAAATCATACAATTAATCGGATTTTATTATGGTTGTTTGTTGAGATTGGAGCAAGCAAAAGAATCAAAAACAAAAAATTGAAAACAAAAAAACAAAATTCTAAACTAAAAACAAAGTTTTTTTTTCCAGTGTTTGTGTTTGTGTTTGTCAAGAGATTCGGTGAGATGAGCATCGTTTAATAATATGATATAATAAGAATCAAATGTCAATGAGATCAACAAAGAAAAAAAACAAAACAAAACAAAGAAAAAAAAATACCGAAATAAAAATTACAAATATATTTACATTATATTAATCTCAATCAATTTTCACTAAATAAAAACATCTTCTCTAATATCGAATAATGAGCACTAATTTTTTTTGTTTTGTTTTTGTTTGTTTTTGGCTAAAATTTTGGCAAATAAATGAGGAAACAAAGGTGTTAATGAAATTGTTGTCGAAGAAGAATTTAACCCTTTTCTCGTTCTCTTGTCTGTTTTTTCCCGCAAAAAAAATTTTGGCACTAAAAAATGTAATTTTCTTCGTATATTTTTTTAAAATGCGTTTTTGTTTTTCACCTGGAAGCAAAATAGAGTATTTTTTTGTTGATATAGATGTAGTTATATAATGATAAAATGTTTGTAAAGTTTTTTTTGTTGTTTAAATGAAATAATGTAAGGTAATCTATTTCGGTAAATATATAATGATTATACGTGTGTTTGTGATAGAGATTCTCCTTTTTTTTGGTTTTTTTTTCGTTGTTTTTTTGGTCAATCTGGACAATAATATGTTCGGTGTGGATTGTATTTTTGGCTGTTTTTGTTTTTGGTTTTGGTTTTTTCGGTTTTTTGAGGGGTAAAGAATTTAGCTAAGAATAAATATTGACATGAATAATGAAAATAATGTTGTTACAACAGTCATTAAATAACGATATTGTTCAAAATTATTTGTACCACCATTACATTTACGATTCCAATAACGACGTTTTAATTCATCTAAACGACCATTAGCTTTTAATTGACGAATAGCACGATTCATTGTTTCCAAATGTGTTGAAAATTTCTGTCCAATTATACCAAATTCATAATGTGTATCGGCTTTTGGAAGATTTTGTGATTCCAATTTGATTTGTGTTAATTCACAATATTCATCCATTGCCAATTCATTATTGATACTTTCCTAAAGATGAGAAAAAAATTTCATCATTCATTTTCGTTTTGTTCACTGATTAAACCCTATCATAAACAAACAAAACAAAACAAACCTGTATGAATGCATATGGTGTTTTCAATGCTCTTTCAATACCAATTTGACGATTTTCAGCCATATTACTTGGATTATTATGCAATTGTTCATAAATACGACGACTTAATGGATCAGTACCAACACTTAGATCACGATAAATTGGTCGTACAGTACCTAATTGTATTATTTCTGGTTGTTGTTGTTGTTGTTGATTTGATTGTTGCTGCTGTTGTTGTTGTTGTTGTTGATAATTAATCGGTATAACGGCTGGTGGTTTTGTTCGTTGATCCAATAAATCATCAATAGTTTTAATATTATTCTGTATGATACGATCTTTATGTATCAATGCACTCAAATTTGATTCCATATATGAATCAGTAAATTCAACATAACGTTGTGCACTTGCCGTACGATAAAGATAATCAGCAATAGCAAAATCCGCTCTCTAATTATGATGATATTATATTATGAAATGAATGAATGGTTTGGTTATGGAATTTACAAAAGCAAAACGAAAAAATCAAAACAAAAAACATACATTTTGATGAATATCAGTTATCAAACCAGGTGGACGATTTTGAAATGGATCATTTGATGTATGTTGATTACCCGGATCTCTTAATGAATAATTAAAATTACCAATTAAAGCCATTTCATCCAAAAGATCGACAAAAAATCCAATTAATTTGCCATTTAAATCTTTTTCAACAAATGGTGGTCGCTATTCAAAGATTCAAAGATTCAAAATTCAAAAATTCAAAATGAAACAACATTCAAATCTTTACAGGGGAAAAAACAAAAAGATCATCAAATCAATCAGCAAAAAAACTTACCAATGATGTTAAACCACGCAATGTAGGTCGATTTTGATTAGCTGGTTGTGCCCAAATCGAAATATTTGTTGTCATTGCAATTGCAATGAACATTATTATTATTGAATATGGTGGCATTTTTGCTGTTGTTGTTGTTGTTGAAATTCTTAATTCAAGGTACTCAAAAAATTCAATTATTGGTTTGGTTTTGCTTGGTTTTTATTTTTGTTTCAACAATATAAACACAGAAACCCACTGACACACACACACAATGAATCAGATTATGAAAGATTAAAGATCAGAAGAAAAAAACAATAAGAATTTTTCAAAATTCTTTAAAATTATGAATTTTTTTCTTTAACAAAAAAAAATAACCAAAAGTTAATGATGGCCTAGTTTTTTGGTGTAAAATGTCAAAAATTCTAGTTTGTTGTTGTCGTCGTCGTTGTTGTTGTTGTTGTTATTTTTTCTGCATCAAAATAAAACAAATGAATGAATGAACGAATGTTTGAATGGCTGAAGCTATAGTTCCATTTGGAACACACACACACACACACACATACTATACAATGAGTAAAGTAAAGTGAGTTTGTACCAAAAGTTTTGGGTGAAGGTTATATCCGATTTTTTTTTTTGGTTTTCTTCTTCAAATGGCGGGTAAATAGGAAAATCTGTGGCAGTGGCAGTAGTTTTCAGTATGAAACAAGAAAAAAATTACCCAGCTTTGAATCCAATTTTTTTTGTTGTTGTTGTTCCTGTATTTATATACGAAAAAAAATTGAAAATGTTGATGAGGATGATTATATAGGAAACGAATGAATGAAGAAAAAATATTAATGAATGGCCTTGGAATATCCATCTATCTGTATCTGTATATATCTGGTTAATGTAAAATTGGGTAGCAAAATTTTTTTTGTTGTTTTCAATTGAACGAAAAAGATTCAAAAAGAATGATGCTAGTGGATTGTTTTCTTCGATTGTAATGCGTATATGCGCGCCGCATCCATACAAATTTTCACATAATAAATTATTTTTCCCATTTTTTTGGTCGCTGGTGGTGGTATATTTATTAGTTTGATGATGTGGTTTCTGTATAGTTTTTTGGTTTATGATGCTATGAAAGGGAACCGAAAATTATTATGTGATGTCATTGAAAGCGAAAAAACTAGATCCGTCGCAAACATTGAATTTTGTTTTTGTTTTTTTCTTCATTTTTCCCCATTGGTTCGGTTTAAATATAAAAGTTCACCGAAATTGAGTAATATCAATGAAGGCATGTGATTCAATGCATCTTGGTTTTGAATATGATTGTGTTATTTTTTTCCCCTTAGATTATCTTCAATCTACTGCGGCTATATGGTTTTCTTTTTGGGAAAAGAAACCCAGTGCGGAATAGAATGGAAAGATATTTTTCTCTGTAAATTTTCTTTCTCTATATATGAATTTTTTTTCCCTAGAATAAACGGGTCAAATCATTCGCAAACAAAAAAGATTGTCCTTGAGCTAGTTTTTGGTTCCGTAATAGAAATTGAGACAAACCAAACCAAAAAAATTCTTGATATTCTTGAATTCAATCATTCCACACCGGAACAGATGTGAGGATTTATCAGTTTTTTTTATATATTCTGTACAATGGAAATTGACTTTCGTTTTTCGCATTGCAATTTAAAGTTTGCGGAAAAAAATCTCATACATACTGTATCCAGTATTGAAAATTCAAGGTCTTGATGGAGATTTTCAATCATAAAATCAGTCAGGGTTGTGTGTGTAAGTTGGATACATTCGAAATGAATTCCCAATGAAAAAAAAACTATCGATCCGGGAAGCAAATAAATTGAGGAATTAAGATTGGGTTTTGAATAATTTTTTCTCAAAAAAAAGATTCCCAAAAAATTGATTTATCGTCTAATTAGGCTAAATCACTGCTTGTTTGTAGACAAAATGAATGAAACACTAAACCGAAAAGTATTGAATTACAACCAAACAAATCATTCGATATTTGATAAGGATTTATTAATTTAGATATTGATGATGACAATGTCAATTCATCACATCCATCAATCAATCAATCAATCAATCACACATCATAAGCGAAGTAAAAAAAATCCAAAACTGATGATTATTACGTAACAACTTAATATAAATTCAACGACAACAACAACAAAAGTATCTATAGGTAAATAAGCTGGGAAAATTTTTCGTTTTGAAACATTTTGGATGGAACGATTTGGATCAAGAACGTTGCCGTCGTTCTTGTTGCTTTCTCTTCGAAACAAACAAAAAAATCTTCCAATATTAAATTACATTACATTTTTTCCCCTCATTCATAGATATGATAAGAAACTAATTAATTATGGCCAATCAATCAATGGATAAGTAATCAATAATGAAAAAAGGAGGAGCTATTCATGTCACACAATAAGTTTCATATTTACAAATTTTCATATATTCACAGAAAAACAAAAAAAATATTGCATGATTTTAGCATGAAAAATATTATCATCAACATAAATGTATGTGTGCTTCTGTGCCTGTGCGTTACCCAAAAAATCAAAAATCAATGATCAAAAAATTGTTGCCTGATTTTTTTTCTATGGTAAAAGTTTGGTTTTCGAAGTAATCTTCAAAAACAAACCACCACCACCTGTCTGTCTGTGTGTGTTTGCGTGTCCTATGCAAGTATATAAACACTTGTTGTTTGTCAATTCGGATTCAAATTTTGTTTTTTGTTCATTAAAAACCTCGAAACAACAACACCGACACAGAACAACGAAAAAAACAAACAGCACAACTGGTTTTCCTTGATAATATCAAATTAACATTGAAAAGTGAAAGTAAACGATATACGATACACACACACATATTGCCATCATTGTTTTCTTGAGCAAAAAATCAACAACAGGAAAAGACAACAACAGCAAAAAAAAATCATTGAAAAACCACATTGACACGTCAACTATCATTCATTTTGTGTGAATTTGAAATAACCACAAAAACAGTGTTTTGTTTTGTTTAAATTTTCAAAAGTTCATTTGAATTGAAAAAAATCAACATGGATGCTACAAAATCAACACTGGAACAATTACGTCAACATGATACAATTGTTGTTGCCGATACAGGTGATTTTCAATCAATCAAATCATTTAAACCAACCGATGCAACAACAAATCCATCATTAATATTGGCTGCATCAAAATTAACACAATATTCCCATTTATTCGATAAAGCAATTGAATATGGTCGTCGATTTAAAGAAAATCCATTAGAATCGGCTATGGATTATCTTTTTGTATTGTTTGGTGTTGAAATATTGAAAATTATACCTGGCCGTGTTTCGACTGAAGTTGATGCACGTTTAAGTTTTGATATTGATGGTTCCGTACAGAAAGCATTGAAAATAATCGATTTATATAAATCAATGGGTATCGATAAAGAACGTATACTGATTAAATTGGCAACAACATGGGAAGGTGTTAAAGCAGCGGAAATTCTTGAAAAACAATACGGTATTCATTGTAATATGACATTATTGTTTAATTTTGCACAAGCTGTTGCATGTGCTGAATCAAATGTAACATTAATTTCACCATTTGTTGGTCGTATTTATGATTGGTATTGTAAACGTACTGGTGTTAAGCAATATGAAAATCCGGCTGATGATCCTGGTGTTAAATCTGTAACACGTATTTATAATTATTATAAACATCATAATTATAAAACTGTTGTAATGGGTGCATCATTTCGTAATATTGATCAGATAAAAGCATTATCTGGTTGTGATTTGCTAACCATTTCACCATCATTATTAGCCGAATTAGAAGCAGAAAAAAATGTACAATTAAAACGTTCATTGGATCCATCGAAATCCTCGGAAATCGATACATTTGCTAAACCGATACATTTGGATGAAAAACATTTTCGTTGGGAATTGAATGAAGATGAAATGGCAACGGAAAAATTATCCGAAGGTATTAGGAAATTTGCAGCCGATGCACGACAATTGGAAAAATTGATTAAAGAAAAATTGTCATAAAATTGAAATTGTTCAAAATTGTTCAAGTTCAGAATCAGTTTTTATCTTCTTAAATAAATAAATAAATATCAAAAATGAAAATCAATAAATTTACATTGAATTAGAATATTTTGAATATAATAATTACTTAAAGTAATTAGCAAAAAAAAAATAATAATTTATCCCTTTCCTTCCAAAAACAAAAAGTTTGCCTTTCAAAATGAATGAATGTGAATTGTGTGCGTGTGGAACAAAATCAATCATCTTACTAAAGTGTAGGTGTGTGTTTGCAGGTATGGATTACCCGAGGTGAGAAAAATAAAATCAATTACAAGTTTGAAAACATCTAACAAATAAATATATTTACTGTGTGTGTGTGTGAATGGATAATGATGCAAAAATTCGGCAAAATCAGAAAAGTTATAGAAAAAATGGACAAAAAAAAGAAAAAATTTGTTCCTATAAATATACCACAAAGATTCGTTTTGTTTTTTATCGGTTGTATAAAAAAATATAAATAAGATTCTTAGAGAAGGAGAAAAATGACGGATGATGGAAGATTCGGATAATGATGATGGCCATCATTATCATTTTTACAATTTTAAAATAATAATGATAGAATTTTACAACATAATCGTAGTGAACTATACAAATAATAAAATATATAAGGAAATTTTTCCATAATTCGATCAATTTTCTTCTCTCTCCGTTGGATTAGATAGATTGATTTAAATATATTCGAATAATCGAATAAATAAAAAAAACACAGTAAATCAATGACTACGTGCTGCTTCTCTTGCTGCCAATATTAATGGATTTAATGTTGATAACGGACTTGATGTCTTTAGAAATGGATGCTATTAACGGTTATTATTATAACGGGAAAAAAGAAAGAGAAAGAGAAAAAAAAAATTCAAATTAAATTAAATCCATCGGACATTGAATGATAAAAAAAAACAAACATACTTTTAATAATTCAGATGCTGACCATCGTTTTTCAACATCACACTCAAGGCACTTGTCCAGGAAATCTTGAAATAATAATGATAATTTTTCCTTTTCTTTAATTTCCGGTTTTCCATTCGTCGCTATTAAATAGATAGCCTAATCATATATGAAAAGTAATAAAAAAAATCATTAAAATTTGTCTTCGAAAAACTAGATAAAATATCAAAATTGAAAAACATTTCATACCCGTAATGGATCACTTTCGTTCATATATGGTGGTTCACCTTCAATCATTTCGATTGCCATTATACCTAATGACCATATATCAATTTTTGGTCCATATTGTTTACGTGTAACAACTTCAGGTGCCATCCAATATGGTGTACCAACCATTGTTGTACGTTTATTTTGTTCCGGTGAGATTTGTGCACAGAAACCAAAATCCGTTAATTTAACTGATCCATCTAAACCTAACAATATGTTATCAGATTTTATATCACGATGTATAACATGATTATAGTGAAGAAATTCTAAAGCTTGTAATACTTCACGACAAACGGCAGCAATTTGACCTTCTTCCATACAAGTTTCAGTAACAACATCGGTCAATGATCCACCACTTAGATATTCCATTACTACCCATAATTCTTCACCAACAAGATATGAATCCAAATAATTTACAACATTTGGATGTTTATTTTCACGCATCACAAGTATTTCATTGACAATCAATTCTTTTTTCGGTTGTTGTGATAGATTCATTTGTTTAATAGCTACTTGCATTCCTGTACTGATTTCGATAGCTGTATAAACAACACCACTTGCACCTTGTCCAATACGTTCCATTTTGGTAAATTTTCTATGTGGATCACCAATAGTAACTATTGATCGTAATCGTTCTAAAATTTCTTCATCAGACATTTTATTTGCTGCAATTTGATTCGGTTTAGGCACACGTGGTTTTAATAATGGTGTTGGCGGTGGTATCAATTGGCCATTATTATTATTATTATTAAAAGAATGTTGATGTTGTTGTTGTTGTTGAATTTGGCTAGGATTCATCATCATCATCGTTTTGGCAAATACGGCTGATTGAGCTGAACATTGATTGGAAATAATTTCATTATGATTATTATCATTAATAATTTTAGATTTTTTAATAGGTGAACGATTTGATGTTGATATGTTAATATTATCAGTGATTAAAAGCGTATTATTAGATAAGGAAATATCATTATTATTATCAACACAATCCACAATAGTAGATTTTTTGAATGTTATTTCAGATGCATCAGCATTATTATTATTGTTATTATTATTAGATTCAATCATAGAAGTGGAAATTATTTTATCAGAAGCAGCAACAGTAGAAATAGTAGAAGAATTTTCATTTTCCTTACCGATTGTCATGTTTGATGGCATAACATTTTGATTTGAATTATTGTTGTTGTTGTTGTTAAGAATATCACGTGGTGAAATTGGTTTCGTATAAATAGATTTTGTTTTTTCCGGTCTTGGATTAATAGGTGGTGGTACTAATGATTTATTATTATTGTTGTTTATTATGGATTCATTTTGATTCAAATCTATTGATTGTAATTTTTTCAACATTGATGATGATATTGTTTCGGATACCGAAGGTAAAGCAGCAATACCACTACAATTACTACCGATACTATTGCCACTAGTTGATAATTTTAATGCTGGTCCACCACTTGCCGATGAAAAACAATTCATCGATGATGAACTTGAAATATTCGAACCGGAACCAGATGATGATAATATCGATCCAGTTATGGTTGCATTATTACAACTATTATCGAAACCGGTAGTGGCCATTAGGCCACTACCGGCCAATGTTGATGAATTTGTCGATGCTAAAAGGCTAGATGCCGATGTCTGTCCAGTAGTTGTTCCTGTACATTGTATATCATCAGATGATGGTGATGATAATGATGTTGTTGTGGCTGTTGTTGGACTAGTTGAACCAGCAGAACTTGTAGTGGTTGTTAATGTTGAAAATGTTGATAATGAAGATGATGTTGATGATGATATTATACCTGTTATCGGATGTTGCTGCTGTATAGTTGTTGTTCCAAGTTTTGTTCCAGGGGCTCTTGGTGGTGTCGGTGGTAGACCGAAATTATTCGATTTAGTTTGAGGTGTTGATGGTGATGGTCGATGTGGAAACAATGATGATCCTTGTTGTTGTTGCTGCTGCTGTTGATTTTGCATTTGCGATGATGGAAGATGTATATGATGATGATGGCTTGGATGATATCCACCACTATGGCCAACATGATGATGATTATAATTGTTATTATTATTATTATTATTATTATAATGATGACTTGAAAGTGTTGGATGTGAACCGGATAATAATTCATTATAATGATGATGTGGATGTCCATGATGTGTATGATGGCCATGATGTAAAAAACTATTTATTTGATGTGATCCAGATATTGATGATTTATCCGAAGAGGAATGTGATGTTGATTCTGTATCTAATAATAATTATTATTATTATTTCGATAAACACAACCAAAAATTCAAAAAAAAAGAGGGAGAGAAAAAAAAAGATTTGAGAAACAAAATATATACAAAAAAAAACCAAATGCAACAAATTGCAGAATTACTAAAACAAGTGAAAATCAATGAAATGTCAACGGAATGAAAAACCTAAAAATAGTCCGCCAAAAAAAAAGAAACCATATAATTTTGTTTTAAAAAATAAAAATTCTAATAGCAACACAGACACACACCCAACAAGTTTCAAATAAAGCATCATTTTTGTTGCAAAAAAAAATAAACAGCTAAATTTAGCTAAAAGGAAAACAAAATTACCATCATTATATCGTCACATCAAATTCTATAATAACTTCTTTTTTTGTGATTTTCTCAACGATAAAGAATTCAATATTGACCTCGCTCAAACACACAGACACCTACGCCATTTTTCTTGCTGTTGATCTGAATAAAATAAAACAACAAAACTGTTTGTTGTGTAATTTTATAATGTACCTCGCCTTTCACTATGGATACACACACCCTATACATATCCTATAGTTATGTTTCCATCATCATCATAATGTTAGACATTTGAATTTAATAAATCTGTTTAATTTCTTTGGAAAAGGCTAATTTTAGATTTCTATCATTTACAAAAAAGAGATTCTCTTCCATTCTTTTTCGAAAAAAGGCTAGGGAGAAAACATGTACCGGAAACATTTTTTGGTAAAAACAATAATTCATTTCATTACTTACCCATTGTCATATATTTAAATCCTTTATCTAAATTATCTTTTTTTGTTGATTCTTCATACCATTTAAGTACTTCGATCACAGCTTGTGGATTTTTCTTTTGTTCCAATTTGGAAATGTTTGAATTTTTTAACATAACATACCAATTTTTTGGCATACCAGTAAATTCACCCGTATTTGGATCAAAACCAACATGTAATGTATGTTCAAAATTTGTTGGTGGTGATATGATTGGTTTGCCACCGCCACCGCCACCGCCACCAACATCATGATCCAATGATGATGATGTTGTTGTTGTTGTTGTTGCTGTTGTTGTTGATGATGATGATGATTTATTACGGCTAAAAAATCCAACACTACTAATAAATGTACCATTTGTACTACCACCAGAACCACGATCAGCTTCCGATGAATTTCTTGCCGATGATCCATTTGATGAATGATGATCTTTTGATTTTGAACTAGAATTATTATTATTATTAGCATTGTTGTTGTTTGTTGTTGATTCATTTGATGAAGATTTTTTCATTGAACTTCGAAGTTTTGATTTTTTAAATGCAGACATTTTTTTTCCTTCTTTACCAATATTATCTTCTTCGGATGGTACTTTTGGTAATGGTCGCATATCCAATGGTATATTATTATTATTATTATTCGTAATATAATCGTTATTGTTGAGATTATTATTACTTCCGTTATTATTATTATTGATTTGATTTAATGGTATGATTGGTATGATGGAATTATGATCACGAGCTGATGCTAATCTGACTGGTGGTGCGGGTGGTTTATCTTCAAATCTTGATGTCGTTGTTGTTGTTGTTGATGATGATGATGATGACTGATTCATTGACTGTAAATTTGCTATCATCATCATTGAATTCGGTGATATTGATGATGTAGATGTTGTTGTAATTGTTGTAGCTAAATGTGATGTAGCTGATGTTGTCATCATCATCATCATATTCTGTGATATAATACTATTTGTTGCGACTGAATCATATGGAGTTGATCGTCCCGATGATGATGATGTTCCACCAACACCACCACCACCACCACTAATACCGCTGCCTCCAGTTATCATTATTTTTATTTCTTTGTTGTTGTTGTGAATGTGTGATATCAATGAATGTTGTTGAATGTTATATACAACTACTGATGACAATAATGATGATGATGGTTACGTAAATTGTTGATTGAAATATGATTGTAACCGATAAATAAAAAAGTTCATATTCCGTTCATATTTGTTTATTATTATTATTGATGATGATAAAATATTGATTCAATTGAATTGTCGATTGATATGGCAATTAACAAGATGAATAGAAACGAAAAAAATCTGTCAAATCCTAATAAAGAGAAAATGAAATAGAGAAACATATTTTATCAATTAATTTATTCAATCAATCAATCAATCGAAAACTAGACAAAATCGATAATATGAAATATGAGCGAAAAAAAAGTCAATGAAATTGATGGAATGTATTAAATTTTCATTTGACAAATGAACGTAAAACCGATGAAAAAACGATGAAAATATATTTTTGCAATTCTCATCATTAATTTATGGTTTCATTCAGGAAAAGGGAGAAATATAAACTTTACCTGTAATCAGAAAAAATGGAATATTCTGCTCAGCAAAATGAATCTGATAAATTTTTGAAAAATGTTGAATCAACATTAATCAATGTAAAATGAAAGATTCACCGAACCGAGAAACAATGTGTGAACAAACAAACATAGAATCCCAAAAAAAATTAAGTTAATCGTAAACACACAAAAAACAAAAACAAAAACAAACAAAACGAGTATGCAAACTAAAATACAAAACAGAGAAATATAAAGGGATACCGAGTGAGAGAAATAGGATTCGATCAATGAACAAAATACACATAGAGATTGAGTCAAACAGACAACAAACAACAATAACACATAGCCGGATTCTATTTGCGAGCAATATTATATCACATATTATTATCCATTTTGACCATTAGGTGGAGCCATCCAAATGATCACGTGATACATTTTTTTTGTTATCCATTTATTATGGGAAAAATATGTTCGGATATACCAATTACCCGCCCTTGATCGTTCAAAACAAAAAAAAAGAATCCATTCGTTTTGTACGCATGTGTCATTCGAACAACGAAAAAACCAACATTCGAATGATCGAACGTTTTTGAAATTTTTACTTTTATCAGAATAAAATATTTTATTATTTTCTATAGAATCAATTTTTTAAAAATAAAGAATATTTTTCTATCTAAAATAATATATTTTTAAAAAAAATAAAATCTTTATAGATGTTTCAAATGTAAAAAAAAATCGGATAATAATTTTTGATCAGAAATTGATTGTAAACATTGATGTAATGAATAAATAGAATTGTGAAGAAAAAAAAAACATCAACAAAACATCAATAATAATCAAATGCAACATTATGAATTATCACCATGTTGAATATATCATATAATTGCACTTGGTGAATATTTAGTGTTTTTTTTGAATTAATAATTTGTTGAAATGCGAATTTCTTTTTTTTGGAGAAGAATAACAATTTGAAACCCTGGTTGCGAGAGAGAGAAAGAAAGATAATTTTGTTCATTCGATGGAATACTGAAGATTTCAATAATGATGATGATGAAAATGAATTGAAATTAATTATTGTTGTTATGAATATGAACATTATTTTCATCATGATGATGATTATGATTATTAATTATCGATAATTTTTTCATTTTCATTGAAGAATTATCATCGACAAAGAAAAATGAATCATTTATTATTGATGACCATTCTTGTTCCGGTCGTTGTAATGCAATTTTTGTTTTTCTTATATCATCTTTAATTGTATCGATTAATTCATCTAATGAATTAAATTTTCTTTCTGGTCGTATATAACCACAAATAGCAACACGTATTGTACTATTATAAAAATCATCATCAAATGAATGTAATAAATGTGCTTCAAGTGTACGTTGTTTAACATCATCAAAATGTGGATTCCAACCAAGTGAAAATACTGTTGGATATATTGGATTCAAAGGACTTGTTGATCGATAAATACTTAAATCTTCAATATTATTTGTATGATGATTATCATTATTATTTTCCATCGTCTTTGCTGCCGTTGTTTTTGTCTTTGTTGTTGTCGATCGTGATGGTGGATCAAGTAATTGAGCAAAACCATAATAGATACCGGAATCAAGTTGAATTTTTTGTACAACATCATATTCAAGATTAGCTGTTGGACATCCTAATTTTTTTGAACCACGACCAAAACCATGTATAACATGACTGGTTATAAATACCGGTTTAGATAATTTTTCAAGTGATTCTGGTGCCATGATTTTTTTTTGTTGAATCAAATGAACAATAGGATTGAATGTAGAATCCGAAAAAAATGGCAAAATTTTGATTTGTTTTGATGAAAATATACAAATGTTTTTTTGTTATTATTCGATACGATTGTTAATGGCAATTTTGTTGTTGATTGTTATAAATGTAATCTTTTTTTTTTCTCTGAAAGAAAAATTTATACTTTATATAGCGATTGTTGTTGTTTGATTAGCCAATTTTGAGATACAACAATAATAAAAATTTCATTTTTTTTATTGTTGTTTTGGTTGACAACAGGATCGTAAACAATGATAATAATGATGATGATGGTACAATATTAACATCAATTAATCGAAATATACATTGGACCAAATCATGCATGAGAAACATGGAAAAAAACAGAAAGAGATAGAAAAGATAATTAAAATTAAAATTAATTTTATCACAACAATAATATTACCATTTAATTAATTGTCATCGATGTTGATTTAAAAATCAGACAAAACTAATTAACAACCTCAAAACCTTGAATGAAAACCGGTGTTTTGTTGTTGTTCTGTTTAAAAGAAAACAATATTTAGCCGTTATTGAAAAGTGTAAATTTGCTATAATGATTTAAAAGTTGAATATGATGATTTTATATCAAAGAAACAAATAAATTAATTCAATTTTTATAGAGATGAAAACGATGATGATGATAAAATTGGAATTTTTTTTCGATATTCTGATGTAATCAAAGTAAAATAATCAGAATGGATGAAAAAAAAACACAAAAAACAGACGATTATTTTCAACCAAACTAAACAAACATCACACGTTGTGTGCTCAATTCTGGTTTTTCAGTGTTTTAGGTTAACAAAAAAAATTCTTGCAAATTTTATCGGCAGTCGATGGATGGCGCTATCATTATCGTTTTGATCATTTTTTTCTTTAAAATTTTTAAAAATTGAAAAAATCATTTTCGATTCACATTTATCAATCAATCAATCGATCAATTAATTCAGTTGAATTTTCATCATTTATGACATTATCAGAGAAATTCCGTTATTATTATTATCGATCGTAAAATCAATTTACCACGATTTTTGTTTTTTGAATTCGGCAAAAAATTCTTTTATAAAAAAAATAGCAGAAAAACAATGATGATTATAACAACATGATTGACCTTTGACCATTTCATTTCTTTTTGAAATCAATTCTATTATTAATTGTCGATCGACGAACGACGAATCATCATCAAAATCATTCTTATTTGATTTGAAAAAAAAGAAGAAATTTCTTGTTAATTGATTGAGAAAACAAGAAAAATAAAGAATGAATCAAATCTATTAGGTCATCATCATCATTGTTCTTTTTTTATCGTAACCATGACCACATCGAATACAAATAATCTTTCTTTGATAAAAAAAGCAAATCTTCAAATTAAACCAATCAAATCAGTTTGGCAGTCAATTAGCCCCTTTTTCTTTTTCTCATCATCATCATCGTTGTTTCGAACAAACAAAAACTAAATAAAAAAATTCACTTTGATCATCATCATAAATGTCGGCTATTTTGTTTGATATTCGATTCGATAACCAACAATTCATTCGATTGATTTAATTTCTTTCTTTCTTTATCCATTCAAATATTTGATCATTATGAATGATGGTGATCAAAATACATTATATTAATTCAATCAATGGAAAATTAAAAAACTTTTTTTTGATGGTCATGTTGTACGTAATGGGCTTTTTTGTATGTATGATTCAAGAATTGAAAGAAAAAGATGGAGAGAGAGAAAGAGAAAATCCAATTATAAATCAAACAACCAAAACAATAAATGATAACAATTAATACCAAAAGTGATTTTTAGTGATTTGTAATAAGCAATGATGATGATGATGATGATGAACATGCATTAAAACACTGTGTATAAGGCAAAAGTAGAATAAAAGGAAACAAAACAAAACAAGAAAAGAAAAGAAATTTTTTTCCAATTGATAAATGAATCGATTGTTGTTCTCAAAAGAATTGATTCTTTTTTCTTACATTTTGCTTGCTTGATGATCATCACACAATTGATGTTTGGCGACGGCAACTAAATCAAAAAAAAACAAAATCAAAAATCAAATCTATCGATCAATTCTACCATAAATATATTGATCAAATTGATTTTATTGTTGTTCGGGGGAGGCCGAATCAAATCCGATTCGAATGTTCGAATATTCGAACATTCGAATACACACCATCCACAGATGAGATGATCGTTTTTTTGTTTGATGTTTTCAACTTCTTCAGACAAATCTGCAAAACATATATTTTGAGCAACATCTAAAATAAAGTTGAGTGGAGAGCAACGAATAATACAAATTGATGAAAGTTGCTTCTCTTCAAAACCAAAATATCACCGCGGAAGAAGCCCAAATCCCATTTGGGTATTGCAGCACTCGACCAGCATTGGGTTATATGGAAATCGTGGCCAAACGAGACGCAAAGACATTATTGAAAATTATTAAAAAAGTGTGGCTCAACCGGGATCGATTGACACATTTAATAATTTTTTTAGAAGCTATTAAACAGTAGCAATATATGTTTGTTTGAATAATGTAAATAAATAAAAAATAATTTGTAAATATAAAAAGAATAAAATTTTATTAAATTTTGTAAGAAATAATGTTGTATTAAACACAAATTGAATTGCTAATTACAACAATTAATAACATTTTATTTTAACTGCAGAGTTAACATTTTATAATAATACGAATGTTCGATTTACAGAACTTAAATATACAGTTCTAACATTCTCCCTCTTAAATCTAATAATAATTCGTATATTCAAATAAAAATATTTTTTCATTTAACGGCTTTTGTAAAACAATCTGCAACTTGTTCTTTAGTTGGTATATAATTAATATTATTATATTGTTGATTTGAAGAAAACAACAATTCGATTAACTTCCAAATCAAAATATCTTGACTTTTTCATTGAATTTGATTTTCTGTCGAACAATGTGATGAATTTCGAGAAAAACCTTCTCGAACATCGAAATCGAAAATAGTTTACTAATCACAAAAACACGTTGCTAAACTTTTTTATTTGTATTTTTTTTTTATTCGATGTAATTGTAACGAAACGAGATTTAGTTCGTTTCTCCAATTAGAATTTTAGAACTATTTTTACGTTATTTCACATATATAAAAATGGTTGTTTTTCTTTGTACTTCTTTATTAAGCTGATTGTAACAACCTCTATTCAACTAATAAGTTACTTTTGAAGTATTGAACCATTTTTTAATTTAGAAATTGATGAAAGCTGTTTCTCATGCCGACCATAAAACATCACCACTACTGAAGAATCGCGATTTGGATATTTGGAATTATAGACGGTAATCCCAGATTGGACTATATTGAGGTTGTTACAAACAATTTCCGAGGTGATGAATTATAACAATCATCAAAAATATTGCAAAACCAGGATCAATTATCCATTCCGGACCAATGGAGGTCATATTTCAATATCAAAATTGGATATTCGAAAATGAAACTAAATCTCAAAAAGAAAAAAGAATGATCAAATAGATGAATGGATGTAAAAGAGAACATCTGGAAAGTATATCTAAAACAGAATTATTGTGGCGACAGCGTCATAATTATTATGACACTTTTCTTTCTAATTTTATTCAACCCTTGAGATTATTAAATTTTTGTATTTCTTTTATTGAATTTCCGACTTTTTATTAAGTTTGTAAATGAGACCTAAACACTGTAAATTTTGAAGAAATAAACAAATAAAGTTTTCTCTTGTTGAAACAATATGTTTTTTTTGTTCTTGTGAATTTTTCGATTCCTTGTTTTGTTTTGTTGAACATTCGTGAAAAAACCAGTTTGGGGTTAACTAATCTACCGAAAAAAAAAGAAATCCCCAAATTGAATTCAATTTTAATCTAATAAAAAAGAAAATTTTGAAAATTATAGCATCATTTATGAAATGAAATGAAATGATCAACATTTTCAAGTTCACCGAACCCTTTTTTTTAAAGAAAAAAAAATGTTTAATCATAATCGTTCACGAAAAAAAACCTGAAAAGAAAAACTTGATTATCAAGATTTTTTTTTGCGCACTTTGAAAAGTTTGTTTTTTTTCTTTGTAACTTTCCAAATCTGGAATTTGTATTTTGTTTACAAAAAAAAAAAGGAAATGATCGTAACGATATTTACGAACGATTCAATCGAACAAAAGTGAAGAATTCGAAATGTTTATTCGTTCTTTTTTTGTTTGACAATTTAACGAATCGAGTAACGAATGTTTGTTTATTTTGAGTTATTTTGTTGATCTTTCCAGGTTTGATGATTATCGGACGACAAATCATCTGAAGAAGAAGAAGATGGAGAAGAAGAGAGATAAAACGATGCCGACCAACCATGGGTAATAATAGCATTATTATAAATCATTCAACATTAAAATAATTTTTTTTTTATTTTTTTAAAAAGAAAATAGAAAAGATCAATTCAAAAGTTAATTTTGTGGCCATTTTCTTCACACTGGTTGTTTTTCAACAACAAAAATTACGAAAATATTATTTATTCAGCCGCGGTAGATACAAATTTTTTTCTTCATTGTATCAAAACAACAACAATAAAACTTAACGACAATGGTTGACGTTTTATATTCCAGTTTATGTGAATTGGTGGCCATAGGTCATCATCATTATCGTCTATTGATGGTAATATATCGACAATTGTCGGCATCATTACAAGAAAAACACACACACGGTAGTCATGAATCGTATGGAATCAATGATAATGATGATCAGAATCATAAATAAATTCAAAAGTCAATCGATCAATCAATATTCATAAGCAAACAAACAAAATGATTATTATGTAAAAAGAATTGACAAATAATGAAAATGAATATCGAATCTGTATATGTATGCATCTCTCTGGTGTTTGAATTCGATTATTGATGTTTTTGTGTGTTTCGAAAACAAAACAAACAAAAAAATCGACAAATATAATCATCATCATTATTTGAAAATTGCTCGCACGCGTACATTTTTGTCATTGTTGTTGTTATCGATTTGAATTATCATTTTTTTCAATTTGATTTTGAAATGAAAAAAAATTTAAATATTCCAAATCCAAACCGAATGTATTGATCAAAAAGAAAATGCCGAATAAACCAAATCAAACAATACACAAGTGAATCAACCTGAGATTGAATTCTTTCTTTTGAAAAGAATTTCATTCATTCAATCAATCAATCAATCATCAATAAATCGCTTACAATCGGTCACCGACCTTTTTTTTCAAAAGGCATTCTTCATTGATTAAACATTACCACAACCACCACCGTCATCATCATCATTCGATTTGATTCGCAATTTTTATCAAAAAAAGAGAAGAAAATTGATGAATGACAAATTCAAATGTTTCATTTTTTTGTTGTAAAATTCTATTCGGTGATAATTTTATTATGTAGTTTTACAATGAGTTCGAAATCAGTCTTGGCTTTCGAACAACTTAACCATAATTGGAATTGTTCTATATTCGAACTTCAGAAAAGTATTTAAACATGATTGAAATAGAATAAAATTGCATTTTATCTGACAGTTACTTTGTGCTTGTGCAATCTACAGTATCATTCCTCTACCTATAGGACTACTTTTAATATTATATGGTGGCAGATTTTGTGTCCTATGCTGTTTAGATCCGGAAGAATAATTATGTCTGCTAAATAATCAGTCATCTGATGACGATCAATCGTCATTAGTTATTAGATTAATGTTAATTAATTAATGTATTTGTTATAACCACTATACTGACCAGTGTTTCACTATTAAACTACATCATACAATCAACTATATGTGAGATAAAATTTAGTTCGATTCGAACAAGATTTTATCGAATTTTAGAATATAATTTTTTGTTCTTTTTTATATTTAAATAATTGTATTTTTTCATTGTGTTTTGAATGACGTTAAAGTCAATTTTTCATTAAACTATTCTAGTTTGTTTCATCACAACTAATACAATACTCTACAATACTTATCAGGTTATGGGTTCAACCACGAATTCTGCTGTGATCAGAATTGCGATCCTAATAAGCGTTCGAGTCTTGAAATAGCTGCAGCTTTAAAATCTCAAGATTTATACAAATATGTTAAATCTGGTAGTAACAAGAATGCGTTACTTGGTGAAGATTCTAAGGAAATGTATAGAGCAATTATTAACAAAATTCTATAAAGAAAGTTATGGTTCCTGATCATAAATCAACCAGTTCACCAGTTTTTTTTTTAAATTTTCAATATTTGGCGTCGACGTTGTATTCGCAAACACATGAATATTGAACCTCGAGAAATCGCCAATAAACTTTTATTTGTTTTGGAAACGAAATTTTCAATTTATGAATCGCTTTTTGGCAAGGAAGATTTTATCGAAAAGAGAAATATTATGGTTCCGAAATTATCAATAAATACAAAGAAAAAGAATTAAACGATTTTATATGATCAATTAAGTAAATAATAATGAAACCACAATTTATAATTATTATTATTTTAAATAAATGATTCATATAAAATTGTTGCTGAACGATTGGAAACTTCTAATTAAACAATTCTGTAATCGAATATAGTCAATGTTCGAATGCTGGACTATAAAACCGAGTAGCCTTTCATGCATAATTATTCAACTGATTTTTGCTGTTATTCTAATTTCTTTTGTAAATTGCAATAAAACTTCGTGTCGATTACATAAAATATTTTTCAGTTTTCTATAATTAAAATTTTGTATGATTAAATTAGTGTTCAATTAGTTGATGATTTTGCTTTGTTTTGTAATTGGAAAAATGTGTGACTAGCACGAATAGTGGTTATATAGTGGTTATCATGTTAAATTATGTATAAAAAATGAATGCAATTAATGGATGAGAGTATGTTGTCGAAAAGAATTATTTAACTTTATGAAAAGCAGAATTGATAATTGAATCAATATTGGTTTGATTGGAATTTTCCAAGCCACCACCACTGCCATTCATTTGTTGTTGTTGAGTAAATTTCAGAAATGGATTCGAATGAAATCCAGCAGCTAATAATGCCTGATTATATTGATATAATGATAAATGATCTAGATGACCACTGGCACCATAACCAATAAATGGATTCATTAGCGAATTATTTTGTGCGTTCGAATTTGTTGTCGTTGTTGATGATGATGATGATGAAGGAATCGAAAGGGCCGGATGATGTGGAAATAGATGATGATGATGATGATGAGAAGATTCAAACATTGATGCTGTAAATTGATTTGCCGTTGGATATGGTAATGTTGTTGTTGTTGTTGTTGTTGTCGATGCAGTTGTTGTTATTGTTGTCGATGAATCTAATGATTTATCATTATTATCATCAATATCATCGTTATAACCATTATATGGATGTTTATCATCAATCTGACCATTCATTTGATTATCATTTGTTGTTGTTGTTGTTGTGGATAATTTTTGTCGTTTTTGTCTACGAAATGAATCAAATGAATCACATGAATCATTCGATGTCATATCTATCAATTCTGAACCATCATCATCATTATCATCATCAATATCATCATCAATTAATGAATCATTATCATTAAATTCATTTTGTTTCTGGCGTTTATGATTATTGATTTTTGATTGTTTTTGTTGTTGAGATGATGATGATGGTGGTGGTGATCCATTTGATGATGTATTCGATTCACCATGATGATAATAACTTTCATGTTGTTGTTGTTGTTGTTGTCGATAATAATCGGGTGAACCATCGGGTGAATAATCGTTACCAACACCACCGCCGCCACCGAATTTCGATTGATTTGCATTCATACGTTGATGACGACGCCATTTTGCACGACGATTACTAAACCAAACCTAGAAAGATTTTATTTTTGCATAATGAAATAGAATGAGAAATTACATTAGTAAATTACAACGTGAGGAAACAAAAAACAAACGAAAATCGATTTTATCGATTAGATTTTGTTCGTAAAATTTTTTTTTATCATTCGAAATGTTAAAATAGTTTAGTCCGATTAGGTCAAAATATGGGCGACATAAATCATTTATTTACATCAAAAAAACGTTCGATTGATCGAATCTATTTCTTTCTTTCTTTCTTCGAAAACAACAAAAAAATTGTCAAAATCGTGCTTGAATTTTTAACCATTAACAACGATAATAGAAGATAATGATCAAACTGCAACAGAAAAAAAGACAACTTAATCGATCTGATCAAACAACAGAAAAGAAATGAAAAAAAAAACAGAACAGGCACCCAAAGCCATATTACAAGATCTTAATGATCTTAATGATTGGTTGGTGAACCACATTTCATCATCATCATCATCAACAATCATCATGATTTCGATCTATTTTTTTTACAACAACAACAACAACAAAGAAAAAGAGATCAAAACCTGACTTTTCACTAATTTTTCTTTATCGGGTAACAACAAATAAAAAAACTGACCAAACAATGATAGAATAAAGGCGCCCAATGGACATCAAGATGGTTTATATAAAAAAAAATGATCATCATCATCATCATCGAATAGGTAACAATAGAAATGATCATTGAATTTTTTAAAACGATTTATTTTCTCTTTATTTTTTCAGATTTTTCGTTGATGTTGATGATTGTGGTGATGAACTAAATTGATCACTATTTTCATCCAGAAAAAATAAAAATTGCATGAAAATAAGAATACGTTACGGATGTTTCAACGAAATGATGATGATGATCATCATCATTGTTAAAAATGGCAATCTTTAGCCAACGAAAAAAGAAGATTTCCTATTTTAAAACGGAAATTTTCTCATTTTCAAATGAACAATCATTATCATCATTATCAAGATATTCACCATTCACAAATGGATTTAACGTGATTCAATGATGATGATGATAAATGTTCCATTTCGTCGAGGTATTTTCTCCAAACTAAACTTGGGTTATCATTTCTTTTTTTGATGTAAATTTTAGGACAAATTCTTTTCTTTTTGCTTACCTGTACACGAGCCTCGGATAATGATGTTGCCTGTGCTAAACGTTCACGTGTTGTTACACATGGATAATGTGTACGTTCAAATTCTTCTTCCAATACTTCTAATTGTTCATGTGAAAATGTTGTACGATTACGACGAAATTTTGTTGCATTTGCTGCGGCAGCTGCTGATAATAAAGAATGATGATGATGATGATGATGAGAATGATGATGGCCAGGATGTCCAGCTAATAAAGCCGAATTCTGTATTGGATCAGTTGCAGCAGCAGCCGCTGCAAATGCGGCAGCTGCTGCTTGTGGATTATGTAATCCCATAGCGGCAGCAAATGCCGATAAATGATGTGGATGATGCGATTGGCTATTTGGATATGTTGTCAATGGAAAATTTGAAATCAATAAATCTTGATTGGATTCAGACGATTGTTGTTGCTGCTGCTGCTGTTGTTGTGACGATGATGATGATGATGACGGTGATGATTTTCCATTACATTCAATTGGTGGTGATTCTTTATTATCATCTACTTTTCTTGTTGCTTTTGTTGTTGTTGATGTTTGTGGTGAAGATGAACGTGATAATGATGATGATAATGATACTGGTGATGATATTGTCATTGTTGTTGTTAAAGGTGATTGTGATCTTGGTGATTGATAATCATTATTAATCGATCCATTTTGTCGTTTATGATCATTATCATCATTTGCATCATCATGGTTAATTGAATGATTATCGTCGATTTTGTTGTCGTCGTTGTTTTTTGTGTCCAATTGATTGATGTCTAAATGATTTGGAAAAAAAGTAGGAATCTAAATAATTAGGAATATTTTATTTATTTTTTTCAAAGTTAACTTATTTCTTGAATGAAAATTGCTTGTCAAATTGAAAAACGCAAAATAGCAACATACCTTTATTGATTGATGATTCTTCATTTGTTGTCGTTGTTGTTGTTTTGATATTTGATGGATTCCATAATGGTTTTGTTGATTGTTTAACAGGATTTGTTTGTTGATTATGTTGCGGCTGATATTTCAACAATGTTGATGGATCAACAATTTGTGTTAATTTTCCACTATTAGCCATTGCTGCCATTGCTAACATTTGTTGTATTTGTTGTTGTGGTAAAAATTGTGCCAATTTTTGTTGTGTAATTTGAAAATTTGAATCACCATTATTCGGTACCATTGTTGTTGATGATGGTTTATTGTTTGTTGTTTGACCATTTGGTGATCCAATACCGTTTATTTGTTGTCCAAATGAAGCCATCCATGCTGCATATAATGGATTTGAAGCAGCTAATAATGCTGGATTTATGCAACCTGTTGTTGTTGTTGATGATGGAATTATACCATTTGGACCGGATGATGGTTGTGTTGTTATCATTGGATTTGCTGATGATACAGTAGTGGTGGTTACCGGTGTTATTTTAGCCGATGTTGTCGTCGATGGTGGTGATGATTGTTGTTGTTGTTGTTGTTGATAATGTACAGCCGTAGCAGCAGCAGCAATTTGATAATTACGTGCAAATTCTGCAGCCGCACGTTCAGCAGCACGATTTCTTAATATACGATTTATACTTGATACGGATGGTGCTGTACTATTTGTACAAACGCCTAATCAAAAAAAGCAGAAAAATTTCAAAAATTTAAAATTTCAAAAATTTAAATCAAAGTTGAGGGTGTATGCAACAACAACAACAAAAAGTATTTTATAGGCCCATCATTCATTCAAGCAAAAGCCAAAAACGATCTCATTTGTTCAACACATATATTTGAATTGGCTCCCAAAATCATATAGGATTGGCTAGAAATGAACAAAATGATCATGCCCATTTTGATTTTCAATTCAAAATCATCAATGTTTTTTCTATCTATATAATAACCAAGTGGCAGCCAAAAAGAAAAAAACCTCTACACAAAGAGATAGACTGACTGGCAAATACAAAAAAAAAGATTTTATAATCGATTACGCCTTTTTGTAGTTATATTGCTCCCGTAAGTTTGGCTTGTGTAATGTGTGTGCGCGCATTATATAACTAGTTTTCTTCTTTTTTGTTGTTGGCCATTTCTTTTCTTTGCAGGATTCAAAAGATATAGGTCTAAAACAAAAATTGATTGACGTGTGTGCGGGCAAGAGAGAGAGAGAATGTCCATTGATTGACCGATAATTTATTTCACTGCAGTGTCACACATTGGTGAAATTGGAAATTTGTTTTCTTGTGTTTGATAAATTCAATCAACCAAAAAAAAGCAAGAGAAAAAAAGTGAAATAAAACAAAACGTTTAATACAAATTTTGTCATTGATCTTTCTGATCGCACACACACACACACTTGGACAGGTTAAATTGACATTTTTTTTTTTGGATATAAATCATCGTCGTCAAGGTAAAACAGAAAAAGAAATCAGCCAACCCGAAATCCGAACAAAAACATCCAACAACAACGAAAAAAGGTAAATAATTCAAACATTGTGGTCATCAATTTTTTTCTGTGTTTCTGTGTTTTGGCAGTTTAAGGTTGAATGATTTTTTTCGAAAAAACAAGAACAGAAAAACGAAAAGATTATGCTGCATATCGATATAAATGGATAAAAATTGCAAGGCAATTAATCAATTTTGATCGATTTGTTTCATTCGATTGGTGGTCTTTTTTTTTGTTCAATGATAATTTCGTAGGCAGAACTTTTTTTCTTTTGGCAGAAAAAAAAACCTTTCAGCTAATTTGAATATGAAGGCAAAAAATATTACAATCTAATTAGCCAGAGAATATGTCCTGGAAAAAGAAACAACAACAAGAAAATTGATTTACAAAACTAGATATAAACAACCAGTTTCACCATCATTTGACTTGGCCATAATTCATCGAAAGAAGAAAAAAATTATCTGGGCCAAATGAATTTTCATTTTATCGATTGTTTTTGATCTTTAACCATTTTCAATATAAATGAACAACAACAACAAAAAAAATCGATAACAATCGCAATCGATCGATCGATTCACAGTGTTTAGTTTTGCAAACTAATTTGTCTCATTTTTCCTGTGTACCTTGGCTACCGTTTTGTTTTTTGTTTTCTCTCTTCTGTTTAATTACAAGAGAATACAGGCAAAAAAAAGAGACATTTATCATCAGGAATTATCAGGAACAACATTAATAAAGATCGAAAAAAAAATTGGAAAATAATTTTGTTGTTGTTGTCTGGGAAAATCTGCATACATGCAAAACAGGAAACAAATATCATTCTCTCTCTCTCGATTTGAATATTCAAAAACAACAACAACAACAACGATTAAAAGGAAAAAATAATTGTCACTTATGTAAACTGACTAAACTAACTAGACATGATTAAGCTGGTAAGCATTTTCTTTTTCTTGGTTGATAATATTCGATTGGTTTGGAATCAAATCGATCAACCGATCATTTTTTTCTAGATCCAAAAACAAAACAAAAAACATTTACCTTCAGAAATTAATCGTTCACGAATTTCCCATGCAAATATTGTTGGATTTTCACGTTTATATTGTTCAATTTTTGCAACAACAGCCGGTGTTGCTACTTTTGGTTTTGAACCACCGATTACTGTTGATGGATGTAATACTGAAGGTGGTAACGATGATGGTGGTGGTTGCGATAGCATCGAAGCTTGTGGAGGAATCGGAACTGAAGACGACGATGATGTTTGATGATTTAATGATGATGATAGTGGTGGTGGTGGTTGCGGCGGTGGAAGATGATTTCCAATCATCATTTGTTGATGATGTGGAATACCAAATGGATTGAATGTATTGAATGGAGGACCACCAACACCTGGAACGGATAAAATATTACCCTGACCAGGTAATATTCGTTGAAATAATGCCTGTGCCATTACATGTGCATTTGCATGTGATTGATTAATTGAATTATTTGTAAATGATAAATTTTTAAGATCATTTTTATTATTGCCATCATCATTATCATCATCGATATTTGATTGTCGTTGATTGTTGCTAGTTGTTGTTGTCGCTGTCGCTGTCGTTGACGATGATGATGATGTAAGCGGTTGCATCATGGCAAATGATGGATCAAAACGACCTATAATTATTATCAAAAGAAAACAAAACTAATTAGACTAGAAAATGAAAGTAGATCAACAACAACAACGGAAAAAAACTTGTAAAATCAAACGGATGATAATTAAAAATCGATTCAATTTTCGTTTAATTCATCGACCCAAACAAACACCGGAAATTTTGAATTTTTAAAACTTTTTGAAAAATTCAAATCTAATGATATGATTCATTCAGAAGAAAAATTTTTTTCCTTTTCATCATCATCATCATCAAATTATCACATTCATATTTTTCATTTTCATTTTCAAACGCCTAAATCATTATCATTATCGACACAATGAATGAATGAATGAATGAATGTTTTGTGACACCTGGCTACTTACCAAATAATTTGCCTAAAGCAGCATTCTGTATAAATTGATTGGCAGCAACAGCTAATTGTATATTAGCTGCTGTAGTAGCCGCTTTTATATTATCCATTAATGGTAACATCATTTGTTGTCGATCTGTTGTTGTTGTTGTTGTTGTTGCGGCTGCTTCAGATGATGATGATGCTGTCGATGTTGAATGATATTTATTCATTAACATTGTCATTGTATCTAGATCCGGTTTTTGTTGTTGATCATCATCATTATCATTTATTTGATCATCACAATCACTCATTTGATCAATATCGGTACGTTCTTCATCATCATGATGATGATTTTGTTTGTTTGATGTTGATGATGATGATGATTCAATTTGATTATTACCATCATCGTTATTATCGTTTGATTTAGATATTTTTATTTCCGGTGTTGATGTTCGAGAATTCGATAATGATGATGATGGCGATGGCGAAGTTGTTGATGTTGATGATGATGATGATGATGATGAATTTCGTTTAATTCGTTTGGTTTTCGATTGATTAGATGATTGTGATGATGATCGGCTACGATTCCATGATGTCGATGATGATGATTGTAATTGTCGTCTTCGACGTCGTTGTTGTTGTTGTCGATTATTATCATCCATATTGTTATTATTTGTAGTAGTGGTATTATTATTGTTAGTAGTAGTGGTATTATTATTGGTAGTACCAATCAAACCATCGATATTGAATTTAATAATCGATTGTGATGATGAACGATTTGTATCCAATTGTTGTTGGTGATTTGTTGGTGATACGGATTGATGATCCAATGAAACTATATTTGCTGTTCGTATATCCATCATTTTGGTTTGATCAAATTTTGTTCAAATATTTTCTGGATGAATCTTCTATGTAAATAAATAGAAAATCAAAAATCAATTAATAAAAAATAAAAATTTTCATTGATTCGAGCGAGAGGTGATGGGCGTTAATGATCACGATTACGGATACCGAACAATATCAACTGAAGGTTCAACTGATCAACAAACCAAAAACCAAAGTGAATTAAAGCATTTAATTAATTTTTCTCTATTATTCAAACAATAAAATAATGAATATAGACAAAATTCATTAACGAAAATCAGATCCTTATTCCTCACAAATGAATGCCAAAGATCATGATCATGATGAGCTTCTTGAATTTTTCAACTACAAAAAGCAACAACGAAATCAATCTTTGGTAGGACGAAAGACAATGAATAGTTTATGATTAGAATAAAGAAAAAAATCCTGGGCTCAAATTACACCATCATCGATGAATAATTTTGTTGTTGTTGTTGATAGTTGGTGATGAAATGTGTTTTTTTGCATAAACTGGTGATGGTAGCGAATCAAATTAGCATCAATCATCATCATCATCATCCTGCGATCATTGTCTTTATCATTTTGATCCAAAATCGTGGCCCACCATCATCATCATCATCATCATCATAGACATTGATCATGATTATGATCATCATCGTACAGGTGGTGATTACAATAACGAAAAAAAAAGTCTAATCGAATGAATATATTTTTAACCTAATCTTATCTACGAACAATTCACCTGATAATCACCATCATCTGGTCTAACCTTAATCATCATTGTTCGTGGTTATTATTATTATTTGGCTAACCATCATCATTATTATTATTTCAATCTTTTGTGTCGGCTATAAATACACATCCTTAGTCATTTGTGTTAGAATAGATATCGAATGTAAAAAAAGGGACAAAAAAAAATCGATTCGAAACAAAACAAAATGATAATCCATCTTTGTCTTTGATTATTATCAATCGAGAACAAAAAAAAAACACGCAAATTCTCATATGGATTCAATGATTATAATGCCATATTGCGAAAGCATCAACGAAAGAATTTCCAATTTTTCAATCATTCAATCATTGTCTCACAAACACCACTTTGATTCATCAAAACACATCAAATTGTCTGATCGATATTCGATATGATGTATTTTTTTTTTACATTTCATAATCAAAATGAAATATTGCTGGAAAAAACAATGATGATAATAATGGTATGATGGTCAATGATACCGCTCTTCAATAATCATATTATCAAGAGAAGAAAAAGAAGAATCATTATTATTTTGGCAATGATGATTGTTTTTCTGTTGTTGTTGTTATTGTTGTTATTGATCAAACGAATGACGGATCCATCCGAAAGTCAATGATCACTATGAATTGTGTATGTATTGACAAGTAAAAAAAAAGAAAAAGAAGATTCATTTCAAGCTTCTTCTCTTGATCATCATCATCATCATTATTATCGATATATGCCGCTCAAAAACTAAAGTCATCACCATAATCATCATCATCCATTGATCAATTGATATGAAAATGGCCAAAATGGTCATTTTGTTTATTTGGCATCTAATTTTTTTTTTGTTTGTTGTTGTGGTTTTTTTCTCTTTTTTCCCTTAAATTTCATCAAATGGGTGCCCACAATAATATAATGATCATCTTGATGATGATGATAAATGGGTGTTTATTTTCTCGAATGTAAATCGTGCACAAATGTTGATGATGTTTTTTCTGTTGTTGGCAAACTTTTAAAAATTCAATGTTTATCACCATTGAATTCCCCCAAAGTGAAGAAAGCGAGAGAGAGAATGGCATATCATCTAGTTGAACATTACCATTACACACCATTATCATCATCATCATCATCATCATGGCCAGGAGAATGAAATCAAACCGAAAAAGGAATCATTGACCAAAACAGAGTAACGAAAAAAGGGCTTTTTCAATAATGATGATAGCTTGTCAATCAAGGAAAATTTTTTTTTCTTAAATCGAAAACATCAAAAACATTCGACAACAACAACAACAACAACAAACACTACCATCATATTCATAATATGAAATGAAGATTGAGATTTTTATCATTTCTATGATTTAATGATGATCAAATTGTTGATCATCATCATCATCATCGTCATCATCATGGCCATTGAGTTTATGGTTGTCGCATTCTTTATTATCGTTCAAAAGAATTTTTTTTTTGGATAAATACCAATGTGGCCAATGTCCGTTTATCAGTGTTGAATGATCAAGGAAAAAATTTTTCATTTTTGTATATAAAAAAAAAGAAACAAAATTATCATCTTGACCAAATGATACGAAGGTGTTCAACAACAAATGATGGTCAATGTTCGGTGTGTTTGTGTGTGTGTGATTTACCTGATCTTTACCTGTTTAAATTTTTTTTTTTGTTTGTTATCACATCATTGATGTGGTTAGTCAATTCAATGAATGAATGAATGAATGGATGCATATTATCTTCATATTTTCAAAACATATTATTGACCATCAGATGACTAGACTATATCATCAGGATAAAGTTTGAACAAACACAATTGAATTTTCCAGATAAATGAATGGAGAGAGGTAAAGATTCAACAAAAAAACTAACATATAATTTTCATATTTTAACACTTATTTCAATCAAAACTTGACCAAAATATTGGTGAAAATAATCTTCTTTCTAAATTGAATTTTTTTTTACCGAAATCAAAATTTCTCTTTGAATTTTCTATCGAAAGCAGAAAAGAAAATTGCCAGATAATCAATATATACCTTATTATTTACCTTTAGACAGGTGACAAATGAGACAATTTTTCTTCTCTTCGCTGCTTCTGTGAAAATAGAGTCAATCAGACGAATGGAGATATCAATGTGACATCACTAACAACAACATCAACTTGTCCACCACCACCACCATCCTTAACATTTTTATTCATTTTGAAAAAAAAACTTTGTAAAATTGTCAAATTTTTTTTTCTTCTTTTCCTTCGTGCTTTTTTTTACCTTGTGTCGATTTTTTTTTGTGATTTTAAACAGAGATTATGATGATGGCCTTTCTATACACTTTCC